GATCTTTTTTTTTTTTCTTTTTTTTTTCCCCAGGCTGGAGTGCCAGTGGCACAATCTCAGCTCACTGCAACATCCACCTCCCAAGTTCAAGCAATTGTCCTGCCTCAGCTCCCAGGTAGCCTGGGATTACAGGCACCCACCACACCATGCCCACTAATTTTTTGTATTTTTAGTAGAGACAAGGTTTCACCATGTTGGCCAGGCTGATCTCGAACTCCTGAGCTCGTGATCCACTTGGCCTCGGCCCCAAAGTGCTGGGATTATGGGCATTGAACCACCACACCCAGCCCTAGGAGTTCTTTCAGCAGGGTTTGTTAGTTTTCTTGTAGAGATCTTTTTACCACTTTGGTTAAGTATATTCCTAAGATTTTTTGTTTGCTTGTTTGTTTTGTGTGTGTGTGGTTGTTGTTGTTTTTGTTTTTTTTGATAGAGTCTCACTCTGTCGCCCAGGCTGGAGTGCAGTGGTGCCATCTCGACTCACTGCAACTTCCACCTCCCAGGTTCAAGTGATTCTCCTGTCTCAGCCTCCTGAGTAGCTGGGATTACAAGCAACTGCCACCATGCCCAGCTAATTTTTTTTTTTTTTTTTGTATTTTTAGTAGAGGCAGGGTTTCATCATGTTGGTCAGGCCTAAGTACTTTGTTTACAAATTTTCTTTTTGCAACTATTATAAAAGGGATTGAGTTCTTGATTTAATTCTCAGCTTGGTTGTTGTTGGTGTGTAGCAGTTCTACTATTTTATGTACATTGATTTTGTATCCTGACACTTTACTGAATTTATTTATCAGATTTAGGAACTTTTTGGATGCATCTTGAGAGTTTTCTAGGTATACAATCATATCATTGGCAAACAGTAACAGTTTAACTTCCTCTTTTCCAATGTGGATGCTTTTTATTTATCTTATCTGATTGCTCTGGCTAGGACTTCCAATACTATGTTGAATAGAAGTAGTGAAAGTGGTCATCCTTGCCTTGTTCCAGTTCTCAGTTATATATAATAATGCTTTCAGTGTTTCCCCATTCAGTATGGTGATGTTGGCTGTGGGTTTGTCATAGATGGTTTTTATTACTTTGAGGTATGTCCCTTCTATGCCAATTTTGTTGAGGGTTTTTATTAAAAAAGGATGCTTTTTCTGCATCTATTGAGATGATCGTATGATTGATTGATTGATTGATTGATTGATTGATTTTTGTGGGACAGAGTCTCACTGTCTCACCCAGGCTAGAGTGCAGTGACGTGATCTCAGCTCACTGCAACCTCTGCCTCCCGAGTTCAAGCAATTCTCCTGCCTTAGCCTCCCAAGTAGCTGGGATTACAGGCACCCGCTACCACAACCAGCTAATTATTGTATTTTTAGTAGAGATGGGGTTTCCCCATGTTGGCCAGGGTGGTCTCAAACTCCTGACCTTAGGTGATCCGCCCACCTCAGCCTCCCAAAGTGCTGGGATTACAGGCGTGAGCCACCATACCCGGCCTGATTTTTGTTTTTAATTCTGCTTATGTGGGGTGTCACAATTACTGACTTGTGTATGTTAAACCACCCCTGCATCCCTGGTATGTAACCAACTTGATCATGATGTGTTATCTTTTTGATATGCTGTTGGATTCAGTTAGCTAGCATTTTGTTGAGGATTTTTGCATCATGTTCATCAGGGATACTGGCCTGCAGCTTTCTTTTTTTGTTATATTCTTTTTGGATATTAGGGTGATACTGGCTTCATAGAATGATTTAGGGAGGAAAGATTCCCTTTCTCTATGTTTTGGAATAGTTTTAGTAGGATTGGCATCAGTTCTTCTGTGAATGTCTGATAGAATTCAGCTGTGAATCCATCTGGTCCTAGGACTTTTTATGTTGGCTTTTTTTTTTTTTCCCCTGATTCTATCTTGCTGCTTGTTATTAGTCTGTTCAGTGTTTTTATTTCTTCCTGGAGGCTATCCTCATCATAAAGTAGCAAAGAATTTGGCTGAATACTGTTCATGTCTAGTGTTTGGTAAAAGGTATAATGTATGAGCAATGAAATTGGACATTTAGGCCAGGCACGGTGGCTCATGACTGTAATCCCAGCACTTTGGGAGGCTGAGGTGGGCGGATTGCCTGAGGTCAGGAGTTTGAGACCGACCTGGCCAACGTGATGAAACCGCATCTCTACTAAAAATAGAAAAATTTGCTGGGTGTGCTGGCAGGCACCTGTAATCCCAGCTACTTGGGAGGCTGAGGTGGGAGAATTGCTTGAACCCGGGAAGCGGAGGTTGCAGTGAGTCAAGATTGTGCCACTGCAGTCCAGCCTGGGCAACAGAGCGAGACTCCGTCTCAAGAAAGAAAAGAAAAGAAGGAAATTGGACATTAGCTGAGATTGCTTTTTTTTTCCTTTTTTTTTTTTTTGAAATCGAGTCTCTCTCTGCTGCCCAGGCTGGAGTGCAGTGGTGCGATCTCAGCTCACTGCAGCCTCCACCTCCCGGGTTCAAGTGACTCTCCTCCCTCGGCCTCCTGAGTAGCCGGAATTACAGGCGCCCGCCACGCTGCCTGGCTAATTTTTGTATTTTTTGTAGAGACAGGGTTTCACCATGTTGCCCAGGCTGGTCTCCAACTCCTGAGCTCAGGCAATCTGCCCGCCTCGGCCTCCCAAAGTGCCAGGATTACAGTGCTTTACAGCGAGCCACCACTCCCAGCCTTAGCTGAGGAAATTTCTAAGCAAAGTGTTAAAGGAGCAGCATGGTCCCTCCTTACTGCTTATAGTAAAGTGCAAGAGGAAGAAATAAATTGAAAATGGAATTGTTAAGCAAAAAGGAATTAGAACATAAAGATTTGGAAAATTCTAAGCCTGTTCATATTATTTTAAAAATAAGAAGGTGTGTTCAAAGAGAACACAAAGGGCATATCAGACCACCAATTTGATAAAAAAGATTAGCATGGGTGTGAACTATGAACCAAATCAGCCATCTATCTCAACAGAAGCTGGGAATAAAGACAAGATTATAGCAGCAGAAACAGTGCCAGCTGGGACTAAGCAGAGGGAAACTGTCAGCCTTCTTAGATCCTGCAGGACTGGATCATAGAGCTGTGAACATGCACTATTCCTCAAAACAAGAGAAGAAAGAACCCAAAAATGATTCGAAGATCATCAGGCCACCACTCCCACCATAGGACAAGAATGCCTAACTTGGGGAACAGGGCTGCCTCCGCCTCAGTTTCAAAGAGAAGAACCAATGCCCAATGGAGCCATGGGCGCAGGGCCACCTGAAGCAGCAGAGGCATAGCACTATTCAGCAGAGCCACTGAGGTACAACTCCAGCCTGGCAGAGCCATGGGTGTGTGGCCTTCACCAGAGACAGCCACACAGGCGGGACTGCTACCCCAGTGGGTTCCAGAAGGCAGAGCATTGAGCCAAAGTAGCTCATCAAGCCTTAACATCTTACGAATTTTGCCTTGATAGGTTTGGGACTTTCTTGGGACTCCATCATCCCTTTCTTCTTTCCTATTTCTCCTTTTTGGGATGCGAATATTTATCCTATCCCTTTCCCACAGTTTTATTTTGGAAACACATAACTAATTTGGTTTCACAGGTTCACAGCTGGAGAGGAATTTTGCCTCATGCTGAATCTTACGTCTATTCTTATTCATGTCTCATTTAGATGAGACTTTGGACTTTGAACTTTAGAGTTCAGACTGCAATGAGTTAAGACTTTTGAGGCTGTTGATTTGGAATGAATGTATTTTGCATATGAGATGGACAGGAGTTTTGGGGGTCCAGTGGCAGAATGCTATAGACTGAATTGTTGTGTCCCGACAAATTCATATGTTGAAATTCTAACCTCCAGTGTGATTATATTAAGAGGTAGGGACCTTTGGGAGGTAATTAGGTCATGAGGGTGGCACCCTCATGAATGGCATTAATGCCCTTATAAGAAAAGACATGAAGGCTTGATCTTACTCTCTCTCTCTGTCTTCCCACCATGTGAGAATGCAACAGCGAGACGGCCATCTATAAACCAGGAAGAGTGCCCTCATCAGACAATGGATTTGCTGGCATTTTGATATTGGAATTCCCAGGCCCCAGAACTGTGAGAAATAAATTTATCTCATTTAAGCCATCCAGTCTGTGGTACTTTGTTATAGCAGCCAAAACTAAGGTGGGTATAAATCTAAAAACTATGTACAAGATCGGCGGGTGCGGTGGCTCACGCCTGTAATCCCAGCACTTTGGGAGGCCGAGGCTGGTGGATCACACGGTCAGGAGTTCAAAACGAGCCTGAACAACATGGTGAAACCCCGTCTCTACTAAAAATACACAAGTTAGCTGGGCATGGTGGCGCGTGCTTGTAATCCCAGCTACTTGGGAGGCTGAGGCAGGAGAATCACTTGAACCCAGGAGGCGGAGGTTGCAGTGAGCCGAGACTGCACCACTGCACTCCAGCCTGGTGACAGAGTGATACTCCATCTCAAAAAAAAAAAAAGAAAGAAAGAAAACTTTGTATAAGATCTATATGAAGAAATCTATATAACTAATGAAAGATATCAAAGAACAAAATAAATAGTGAGATATTCCATGTTTATAGCTAGGAAGACTTAATATTATCAAGAAGTCACTTCTTCCTAACTTAGTCTGTAGATTAAATGCAATCCCAGTCAAAATCCTGGCAAGTTATTTTTCAATCAATTTAGTGATATATATCAATAAACTTTTTCTAAAAAAGAGAGGCAAAAGACCCAGTACAGACAACATAGTATTGAAGGATAGCAAATTCAGAGGACTAATACTACCTGAATTCAAGACTTCAGGCCGGGCACGGTGGCTCACGCCTGTAATCCAGCACTTTGGGAGGCTGAGGGGGCAGATCACCTGAGGTCAGGAGTTTGAGACCACCCTGTCCAACATAGTGAAACCCCACCTCTACTAAAAATACAAAAATTAGCTGGGCATGGTGGCACACACCTGTAATCCCAATTACTTGAGAGGCTGAGGCAGGAGAATCACGTGAACCCAAGAGGCAGAGGTTGCAGTGAGCCGAGATCATGCCACTGCACTCCATGCTGGGCAACAGAGTAAGACTCCATCTCAAAAAAAAAAAAAAAAAGGACTTCCTATAAAGCAGCAGTAATCAAAACAATGTGGTACTGGCAAAAGAATAGACAACTAAATGAATGGAACAGAAGAGAGCCCAGAGAAAGACCCACATAAATACAGTCAACTGATCTTTGACAAAGGAGCAAAGGCAATACCGTGGTGCAAAATAGTCCTTTCAACAAATGGTGCTAGAACAACTGGACGTCCATACAGAAAAAAAAAAAAAAAAGAATCTAGAGAAAGATCTTACGTCCTTCTCGAAAACTAACTCAAAATGGATCATAGGCCCACATGTAAAATGCAAAACTATAAAACTCATAGAAGAGAACAGAGGAGAAATTCTAGATGAACTTGGGACTGGTGATTACCTTCTAGATATAATGCCAAAGTCATGATCAATGTAAGAAACAATTGAGGCCAGGCGTGGTGGCTCACGCCTGTAATCCTAGCACTTTGGGAGGCTGAGACAGATGGATTGCCTGAGCTCAGGCAGGAGTTAGAGACCACCCTGAGCAACATGGTGAAACCCTGTCTCTACTAAAAATACAATTAGCAGGACATGGTGGCACGCGCCTGTAATCCCAGCTACTCGGGAGGCTGAGGGACAAGAATTGCTTGAACTTGGGAGGCAGAGGTTGCAGTGAGCTGAGCTCGTGCCACTGCACTCCAGCCTGGGTGACACAGTGAGACTCCGTCTCTAAATAAATAAATTAAATTAAATTAAATTAAATTAAATTAAAAAGAAACAATTGATAATCTCGACTTTATTAAAATTTTAAAAATTTCTGCTGTGTGAAAAACAGTGTCAAGAAAACAAGAAGCCACAAACCAGGAGAAAATATTTGCAAAAGATACATATATAAAGAACTTTTAAAGCTCAAGAATAAGAAAACAACCCAACTTAAAAATGAGTAAAAGTTTTAAACAGATTCCTCACCAAAGAAGATACACAGATGGCAAGGAAGCATATGAAAAGGTGTTCAACACTATATATCCTTAGGAAATTATGAATTAAAACAACAAATATATACCATTATACGCCTATTAAAATTGCCAAAACACAATACCAAACGCTGGATGTGGAGCAACAGGAACTCTCATTCATTGCTGGTTGGAATGCAAAATGGTATAGCCCCTTTGGAAGAGAATTTAGCAGTTTCTTAACAAAACTAAATGTACTCTTAACTGCACAATTCAGCAATCATGCTCCATGGTATTTACCCAAAGGAAGTGCAAGCTTACCTTCACACAAAAACTTGTATGTGAATGTTTGTAACAGCTTTATTCATAATTGCCAAAACTTGGAAGCAACCAAGCTGTCCTTCAGTAGGTAATGGATAAATTGTTGTAAATCCAAACAATGAATTTTTCAGCACTTTAAGAAGTGAGCTATCAAGCCACTAAAAGACATGGAGGAAACTTCAATACATATTATTAGGTGAGTGCAAAAGTAATTGTGGTTTTTGCATTGTTGGAATTTGCCCTTCGATATTGGAATACATTCTTAAATAAATGTGGTTATGTCATACATCATTTTAATGGGTATATCTTGCTTTATGTTTTTGTTTTTGATTTTGCTAATGACTTATTACGTGCTCTTTATTTTATGTTTATTTTAAACTATGGAAATGATGTTAGCCAAAAAACAAATTCAAGAGATTTTCTTTTTTGATTTCGAAAGGGGTCATTTAGCAGGGAAGAAAATTCTCAACATCAACAATGCATTTGGCCCAGGAACTGCTAACGAACACACAGTGCAGTGGTGATTCAAGAAGTTTTGCAAAGGAGAACCTTGAACATGAGGAGCGTTGTCGCTGGCTGTTGGAAGTTGACAGCTACCAGTGGAGAGCAATCATCAAAGCTGATCCTCTGACACCAACACGAGAAGTTTGCGAAGAACTCAACATCAACCATTCTATGGTTGTTTGGCATTTGATGCAAATTGGAAAGGTGAAAAAGCTTGATAAGTGGGTGCCTCATGAGCTGAGTGAAAATTTTTAAAAAATCATTTTAAAGTGTCATCTTCTCTTATCCTATGCAACAACGAACCATTTCTCGATCGGATTGTGACATGCATTGAAAAGTGGATTTTATACAACAAACAGTGATGACCAGCTCAGTGGCTGGACTGAGAAGAAGTCCCAAAGCACCTCCCAAGCCAAACTTGCACCGTAAAAAGGTCATGGTCACTGTTTGGTGGTCTGCTGCTGGTCTGATCCACTGCAGCTTTCAAATTCCCGGCAAAATCATTACATCTGAGAAGTATGCTCAGCAAATCGATGAGATGCACCAAAAACTGCAATGCTTGCAGCTGGCATTGGACAACAGAAGGGACCCAATTCTTCTCCATGACAATGTCCCCCACACATTGCACAACCAATGCTTCAAAAGTTGAACAAATTGGGCTACAAAGTTTTGCCTAATCTTCCATATTCACCTGACTTCTCACCAACTGACTACCACTTCTTTAAGCATCTGGACAACTGTTTGCAGGGAAAATGCTTCCACAACCAGCAGGATGCAGAAAATGCTTTCCAAGAGTTCGTTGAATCCCAAAGCATGGGTTTTACACTGCAGGAATAAACAAAATTATTTTTCATTGGCAAAAATGTATTGATTGTAGTAGTTCTCATTTTGATTAATAAAGATGTGTTTGAGCCAAGATATAATGATTCAAAATTTACGGTCCCAAACCACAATTACTTTTGCACTAACTTAATACTAAGAAAAAAAAGCAGGTCTGAAAAGGATATATACTGTATAATTCCAACTATGTGGCATTCTGAAAAAGGTAAAACTTTGGAGACAGTAAAAAGATCAGGGGTTAGGGGGAGGGAAGGATCACAGGCAGAACACAAAAGATTTTTAGGGTAGTGAAACTCTTCTGTATGGTACTACAATTGTGGATACCTGTCATTATACATTCATCAAAACCCATGGAAGGTACATCACCGAGAATGAATCCTAATGTAAACTAAGGACTTAGGGTGAAAATGATGTGTCAATGCAGGTTCATTGATTGTAACAAATGTACCCCTGTGGTGTGGGATGTTCATAGTGGGTGAGGTTATACAGGTATGGGGGTTGGGGGGAATGTATGGGAACTGTCTGTACTTTCTGCTGTGAACCCAAAACTGTTCTAAAAACAATTGAGTTAATTAACTTTTTAAAAAACTACCCGAGAGCCTGAGCATGGTAATTCACATCTGTAATCCCAGCACTTTGGGAGGTCACTTTGGGAGGATCACTTGAGCCCAGGAGTTGAAGACCAACCAAGACCCTGTCTCTACAAAAAAAAATTTTTTAAATTAGAGGGTGTGGTGGCATGTGCCTATGATCCCAGCTACTCGAGGGGATTGCTTGAGCCCAGGAGTTTGATGCAGCAGTGAGCTATGATCAGGTAGAGTTCATCTCATCAGAACAGTAGATTTCAGAAGGTAGGGATTAATATCTTTTTTTTTTTTTTTTTTTTTTGAGACAGAGTCTCGCTCTTGTTGCCTAGGCTGGAGTGCAATGGCACAATCTCGGCTCACTGCAACCTCCACCTCCCAGGTTCAAGCGATTCTCCTGCCTCAGTCTCCCAAGCAACTGGGATTACAGGTGCCCGCCACCACACCTGGCTGATTTTTGTATTTTCGGTAGAGACCGGGTTCACCATGTTGGCTAGGCTGATCTCAAACTCCTGACTTCTGGTGATCCGCCTGCCTTAGCCTCCCAAAGTGCTGGGATTATAAGCGTGAGCCATCGTGCCCAGCCATGGATTAATATCTTTGAAGTACTGCAGAAAAGCAATGGTAAGGTTATAAAATCTATCTCTCTCTCTCTCTCTCTCAATAATATGGCCAAAATAAAGACTTCAGGCAGTTTACTGTCTCAGTTACTCATTTAAAAAATGACTAAATTTTCTTATTTGGGAAAAATAAAATAAAAACATAGACAAGCTTCCATTGGCCAAATATAGGGAAAAAATGAACATCAAAAGGAATATTGGGCCTGGGCACAGTGGCTCACATCTATAATCCCAGCACTTTGGGAGGCTGAGGCAGGCTGATCGCTTGAGCCCAGAAGTTCGAAACTGGCCTAGGCAACATGGTGA